GGTAGATTTGGGCACGCCTCAGAGTCGTAGTGTGAACGGTATCGGAGCGAAATTGGAGCGAGACAAAGCGACCGCTCCAGCCTTAATTAAAAAACCGCTCCGCGCTCTGACCAAATTCCGACCGCTCCGCTCCTCGCTCACGCTCTGCTCACATGCTCTGCTATGGACCTTGCTTTGCCCACTAGTGCACAGTCATTTTGGAACAGGAAGGGGCCATCTCCAAACTGTTCCCACAAAGTTGTGAGCATGAAATTGTACAAAATGGCTTCAAATGCTGCAGCATTAAGAGTTCCTTTCACTGGAACTATGGGGCCAAGCCCAACCCCTGAAAAACAAATAAACAACCCCACACCCTAATCCCCCCTCCACTAAACTTTACACTTGGCACAATGCAGTCAGGCAAGTACCGACCTTCTGGCAACCGCCAAACCCAGACAGAGAAGTGTGATTCGTCACTCCAGAGAACACATCTCTACTGCTCTAGAGTCCAGTGGCAGCGTGCTTTACACCACTGCATCCGACGCTTTGCATTGCACTTGGTGATGTAAGGCTTGTGTAAGGAAAAGTAGTAAACATGGCCCAAGGTTCTTGGTTGATCATTTGGATACAGACAGTGTTAGCAATTTATGATCATGGGGGAAATCAGGGAGAGAATGGGGGTTCCGGTCGGCACCACTAGGGTGATAAGGAAGATAACTAAATTACAATGATCATAAAAGTCTCCACCCTGTCCTGCCCCATCCCTGCCCCAGGCTCCTCACAGGCCAGGGGGTCACTCTTCATATGTAAATTCACTCACAACACCTACACACAGCACCTTGTTGGGGAGGGTCTTTTGGGGTATAAAGGGGGGTGAAGAACTGCCCTTTATTTGTATTTGAGTTGCCTTTCAATACCCGATGTCTACACTGTATTACATTATATTATTTTTTACTGTTCAATAAACCACCATTTTGCTGAAACTGAGGAGACTCTGCAAGTGGATTCCTTACAGCTTCGATGCAGCTGCCCAGCCATGGAAACCCATTCCATGAAGTTTTCTACACACTGTTCTTGAACTAATCTGAAGGCCACATGAAGTTTGGAGGCCTGTAGCTATTGACTGCAGACACTTGGCGACTTCTGCACACTGTGCACCTCAGCATGCGTTGTCCCCGCTATGTGATTTTATGTGGCCTAACACTCTGTGGCTGAATTGCTGTTGTTCCCAATTGCTTCCACTTTGTTATAATACCATTAACAATTGACCGTGGAATATTTAATAGCGAGGAAATTTCACAAATGGACTTATCCCGGTACCACACTTGAATTCACTGAGCTCCTGAGAGCGACCCATTCTTTCACAAATGTTTGTAGAAGCAGTCTGCATGCATAGGTGCTTGAATTTATACACCTGTGGCTATGGAAGTGATTGGAACACCTGAAGTCAATTATATGGAGGGGTGTCCCAGTACTTCTGGCAATATAGTGCACATAAAAAGACATTAGTGGTGTGGCGGTACATTTTGCCTATTAAAGTCCGACACTTTTTTTCGTAAATATAGTTTTCATTTTTATTTCAGTTTACAAATTATTTTCTTTCATTTAGTGTCTGTTTTCGTTTCAGTTTTACTTTACAACAACACTGGTCCCAACGAGCCCGAAGTACACAAACACACACTGGCACCATCAATCAACGTAGAATAAGCCCAGAGTTTAGCCTTAACATTTTCTCAAACACTTATTCAATGGAGATTCTAAGAAAGCAGGCAGACAACTTTATGGCCTAATGGATATATTTAGCAGCTTCAAGGAAATAAGATATTATACAGCTCTCTGAACTAATGGTAAATTAATAAACATGAATAGACAACATGGTGGTTTTGCCTACTATGGTGGTCCATCATCCAGAATAGAATCTGTGCATTTCCTCTTCAGGTGCTCATGCATAGCTCTATTGCCACCCTAGTATGCCATCAAAACTTTGCACAGTGTAAAACCAGCTTTTTGTTTAGTGATAATTTGAACTACTCCCATAATTATTCAATAGTACTAAAGGAAAACAATCGTTATGAATTGAAGCGTTTTAGAAATCATAAAAGGTCATTTGTTAAACTAATAAAAAAAAAAAAACAAAAGAAACAAATGTCGATTTAAAATATTGATGTTGACGCATCTTCAGTAACAATGTCATGGACTATGTCAACTAAATGCAGCTACCCTACTGCAAATTCATCTGGGCTGGCTACATCTCCGCTCCGCTGCTGTGGAAGATCAACATTTGTTTCTCCCACTTCAGTTCTAACGATCTCTAAAGGAACAGAGTCAACACAGAATGCAAGATAAATTTCCTTTAATAGAGAAAAAAAAAAAAGTTCCACAAGCAGGCAGACAGTGTCCCCCTCCCACTGGAGGAACCCCCGAACAAAAAAAAAAAAAGTTTATACACTGCTCAAAAAAATTAAAGGAACACTTTGAAAACACATCATATCTCAATGGGGGGAAAAAATCATGCTGTATATCTATACTGATATGGACTGGGTAATGTGTTAGGAACGAAAGGATGCCACATCGTTTGATAGAAATGAAAATGATAAACCTACAGAGGGCTGAATTCAAAGACACCCCAAAAATCAAAGTGAAAAAATGATCCGGTAGGCTGGTCCATTTTGCCGAAATTTCATTGCAGCAACTCAAAATCGCTCTCAGTAGTTTGTATGGCCCCCACGTGCTTGTATGCATGCCTGATAATGTCAGGGCTGCTCCTAA